GGGGGGGGGGGGGGGGGGAATGACCACTAGGGGAACCAAACGGTGTTGCAGGGGGGTGGGGGTGGCCGTGGGCCACAGCGCTCCTTCCTGAAGGCTGGTTCTGAAACGGCTTGAGTCTGGGAGGTGCAGTCCCTTTGCTTTACTTTCAAGCTACCCTATTTGGGGGCCGCCAGAGACTGGCTGGGAGCTCATCCCCCGACCCCCGCTCGACCTAAACGGTCTCTCCCAAGCTTCCTTGCTTTTTGGCCTGGCTCGGGCAGTGTGTGACTTCGGGCACCAGAGGGCGCTCTGCCCATTTCCACAGTAGCGCTGGGGCTCCTGAGGCCGCAGTGGTTGAGTTCGGTCGGACGGGTGGATACAGGGCGCGAGGACTGGGTTGGGGGCTGCGGAGACAATGAGCCCACGTGCAGCTATACAGCAGGTCAAGCTCCACCCGAAGCTCGGTTCCCTCCTCTCGCTGCCTGTTCAACACACGTTAACTGAGCGCCCACGATGTGTCCAGCTCTGTGCCAGGCGCTGGGCTCACAGGGGTCGCCCCGCGTGCCCCCGCGTCCCCGCCCGGCCCTCCTCCTCGGCCCCTCTCACCTCTGCTCTTCTCGACCCCTTAGGATGAAGTGAAGCTGCCGGCCAAACTGAGCATCAGCAAGTCGCTGAAGGAGTCGGAGACGCTGCCCGAGAAGGAGGGCGACGAGCTGGGCGAGGGCGAGCGGCCCGAGGAGGACGCGGCGGCGGAGCTGTCGTCCGACGAGGCGGTGGAGGTGGAGGAGGTGGTGGAGGAGTCGCGCGCCGAGCGCATGGAGCGCATCAAGCGCAGCGGCCTGCGGCGCGTGGACGACCTCAAGAAGGCCTTCTCCAAGGAGAAGATGGAGAAGACCAGGGTGCGCACGCGCGAGAACCTGGAGAAGACCCGCCTCAGGACCAAGGAGAACCTGGAGAAGACGCGGCACACGCTGGAGAAGCGCATGAACAAGCTGGGCACGCGCCTGGTGCCCGCCGAGCGGAGCGAGAAGCTCAAGACGTCGCGCGACAAGCTGCGCAAGTCCTTCACGCCCGACCACGTGGTGTACGCGCGCTCGCAGACGGCCGTGTACAAGGTGCCGCCCTTCACCTTCCACGTCAAGAAGATCCGCGAGGGCGCGGTCGAGGTGCTCCAGGCCACCGAGCTGGTGGAGGTGGGCGCCGACGACGAGGGCGGCGCGGGGCGGGGTGAGGCGGCCGACCTGCTGCGCGGGAGCAGCCCCGACGTGCACACGCTGCTGGAGATCACCGAGGAGTCGGACGCCGTGCTGGTGGACAAGAGCGACAGCGACTGAGCGGGACGCGGGCTCGGCCCTCCCCGCCACCCCCCGCACCCGCTCCTTTCCCTCGCCGAACTTTCTCTTCCGCATTCTCTCTCAGCCCCGAACCGGCTGAGACTTTTCTAAATTAGAAACACCTCCCCTTGAGCAGCACCCCTCCGAGGCTGACACCTCTTAAGATGGGAGGGGGAGGCAGCCGCCGCCCCCGACAGCCCCAATTTGGACAGAGTCTGGGTGGAAATGGGAAGGGGAGTGGCCCATGTCCTGGTTGTCCAAGTCAGGGGTCCTAGAGGAAATGGCTGTGATCCCAAGGCTGGGCCCCCCTTGGGAGGCTGCCTTCCCCTCAACGTCCCCCCTGCCACACACTCACGCCTGGCTGTCATTCCTGCTCACTGAGCTCCTCTCATCCTGACCCCTGTAGGTTTCAAAGCCAAATTGACCCAAAGAGGAAAGAGTGAATCCTGGAGGGGACCCTTGCCCACGTGGGAGGCTCCTCTCCTAGAAGGACATGAAAGCAGCTTTGGGGGGAACCTGAGGCAGTGGGGGAGAAAGGGCAGAGTGAGCTCTGACCCTGGAAGAGGGTCCAGTACAGGCTATGTCTGCCAAGGGTCCCAACAAGGAAGGCTGGAGCCAAGTGGAAGCCTGGGGAAGGAGGGGGTGTGGAACGACGGAGGTGTGGGGGAGGGGCACGCTTACATGTTTATACACCTGCACACAGGAGCACATGGCCATGGCTTTAGGAAGGAAAATGGGAAATAAGGGAAGGTGCAAATGGGTGAAGAGAGGGGTGAAGTCCCCTTGTTAGCAGGTTCTCAGAGGACTGAAGGACCATTTTCAGGGTCGGGAAGGACAGGGTGAGAAAGCGTCTGGGTGGTGCCCCCAGTGCTCCTCAGCCCATTTCTCAAAGCCCAGAAAATTAGGGTCCCAGAAGGGTGCAACAGCAGGCTGTGGAGAGCTGGGAGTTAGGCAGGAGGCAGACTGGAGAGCACGATGCTAGTGGCCAGGCCACCAAGCTGAGAGCTGGAGAGGAGTCAAGGAGAGCACAGTACAGAGCACCCAGGCCTGGCTCCCTCCCGGCAGCTTCTACCCAGGGTCCCTCCCTAGAGCTAGGGTCACAAAGCTGCAGAACTTGCCAATGTCTCGCTGGTTTCCTTGCCCTTGGGGGTGCCTTTCCTGAATTTTGGGGGGTGAGGGGAGCGCTGCTTCTATTCCGGAGGCCTATGTCTGTAGTCCACTGACCAAGTTGTCCTCAGGACACTTCAGTCCCCCATTCCTCCTAACCATTGAAAGTGGCTTGTCAAGTCAGGTCAACCCCTCCCCCCACGTCACAGCCTGAAAGGAGAGCTGGAGGGCTTCCTCCTTTCCCTTCTCCCCCTGCCCCACCTCCTCCTGAGCTTCCCTGCTCTGCTTTTTAGAATTGCAGCTAATTGTTTTAAGGGGGGTGGGGGGGATCCTGGGGACACAAACCTTTTATACAATACAAAGCCTTGCTTTTTTTTTTTTTTTATTTCCTTTTTCTTCCTTTTCCTTTTCTCCTTTCTCTTCCCTGAGTGGTTGGAGACATGTCAGCTGAGGGAGGATGGGGCTTGTGGGACAAGGTCCCTTGGTGCTGTTGGGTGGAAGGAGCCTGAGTTGTGGGAAGACGCAGTTTTCTGCTGGCTCGGGGGAGCCTCTCACGTTGCTGTGTCCTGGTGACCAATAAACCTGCTTTTCTAAAAGGATCTGTGTTGGATTGTATTCTCTGAAGGCCACCATTATATAGGATGAGTTACAGAGGACAGGAGGGAGAACACTAGATATAAACACTTGCCCTAGGGCTGGCCGGTTAGTTCAGTTAGTTAGACCACAGCCTATAACCCCAAGGTCATGGGTTTGGTTCCCTGTACCTGGCAGCTGCCAAAAAAACCCAAAAAACAAAAAAACTTGCCCTACTTGCCTGGGGCAGGAGGGGCCGGGGGGCAGGAGCGAGGGAGATAACAATAATAGCCAATTTATTGAGCCCTTATTTTCTGCCAGGAACTGTTCTAAGCACTTTGGCATGCAATTGCTTGTTTAATCTAATAACAACCCCAGGAGTAGATTCTGTCATCATTCCCCTTTCAGAGATGAGGAAACAGTGACTTGACTAAGGTCAGGGAGCTGGTAAGCAATGGAGCTGGGATTCAAGGGCAGGCGGCCACAGGCTCCACTGTCTGTTTAATAGTTACATTCTGTAACCCTGTACCATCTGGATTCACTTCCCTGCTGTCAGGACATTAGCCCTCCAGAGATGTAGTTACTCTACTCAGCCTGAGCTTCCCCCAAATACACCCTTAAGAATTCCCCTTTAAGCCTTGGGGGCTGGCATGTGGCTCACTCGGTAGAGTGTGGTGCTGACAACACCAAGGCCACGGGTTCGGATCCTATATAGGGATGGCCGGTGAATGTGGTGTTGACAACACCAGGTCAAGAGTTAAGATCCCCTTACCGGTCATCTTTAAAAAGAAATAAATAAATAGCGGTAGGCTTATACCCTAACAGCTGATCAACCCCAGTGAAGAGGGTTTCTTTCCGGATTCTTTCATCCAGAATCTCAGATATAATGCTCATTGTCCCTGATAGGTCATGTATCCAAATCAGTGTGCCTTGGACCACGTGTCATGTGATCACTTCTAGAACCCACCTGAAACGTGGAATTATTAGTTTTATTAGGGTTCTCCAGATTAGATAGGTAGATAGATAGATAGATAGATAGATGCGAGGGGATTTTTGAGGGGAATTGGCTCACATGACTATGAAAGCTGCAAGTCCCAGGACAGCCATTGCAGGCTGGAGACCCTGGGATGCCAGTAGTGTGGCTCAGTCCAAGTCTGAAGGCCTCAGAACAAGGGAAGCTGATGGTGTAACTCTTCATCCAAGGCCAAATGCCTGAGAACCTGGGGGGCCACTGGTGTAAGTCCTGGAGTCCAAAGGCCAGAAAGCCTGAAGTTCTGATGCTGGAGGCAGGAGAAGAAGAGTGTATCCCAACTCCCGGAGGAGACAAATTCACCTTTTTCTGTTTTTGTTCTATCCAGGCCCCTAGCTGATTGGATGGTACCCGCCCACCCTGAGGGCAGATCTTCTACACTAGTCCGCTCAGACTCACATGTTATCTCTTCTGGAAACAACCTCACTCCAAGTATTCCTTAATTCAATCAAGTTGACACCTACAAGTAATCATCACAAGAATGAAGGAGGGCTATTTTCCCAAAGGAAAATTTGGTTGCTGTTATCAATAGAAAAGGGAGAGGAAGATGGGCAGAAAAAACAACAGATGTTCTTTCCAAATTGTGATTCAGTGCTAGGTACTCAGAGCCTAAAAAGACAACAGGATCTAGTCCTTGATTTTCAAGAGTTTGCAATTATGGGGAGAGAAAAATGTTTAAAAGAGATCAAAGAGGGCTGGCCAGTTAGCTCAGTTGGTTAGAGCGCAGTCAAGAATTCAGATCCCCATACTGGCCAGCTGCAAAAAAAAAAAGCTCAGAGAGATGACTGTAAGAAGGTAAAGCAAAGTGCAATGGCAATTCGCTGCGGAGGGATTAACCCCACTTGGGGAATATGGGAAAACTTAAAGGAGGAAGTGGGCTTTTAAGGTGAAATTCTTTTTTTTTTTTTTAAAGATGACCAGTAAGGGGACCGTAATCCTTGACTTGGTGTTGTCAGCACCACGCTCTCCCAAGTGAGCCAACAGGACATCCCTATATAGGAATCTGAACTCTTGACCTTGGTGTTATCAGCACCACACTCTTAAGATGAAATTCTAAACATGGGTTCAATAGGTGTTGCTGGAAGGCAGAGATAGCACTTGGTTTTTGTGTCACCAGAGACTAAAAGTGTCTCTAAAATGTATTGGTTAATGTTATTTGGTTGGAGGTATAAGGAAAGGACATTGGTCAGCTTAAAGGGAAAGAGGAAGTCATTTTGGAAGGCTGCCAAGATATCCCATGGATTCCAAGGAACCACTGAGCAAAGGCTAGGAAGAATAGGAATCAGGGGATCTCCAGGGACTTCCGCAGAGGGAGTTGATGGATGGCTCTCTCTAAAGTGCTGACATTAATGGAACTCAGCTCTAAGGGCTCCCAAGCTCTGTGCCTCTCAGTTTCAAATTCCAAATTCCTAGCAGAGAGATTCTGATTAGGCCAGTTAACACTAGCATCCACCCTAGTTTTGATCATCTATGGCTAGGAGGACAGGATTATATAATACAGATGTGGCTGAAGGGACCCATTTCAGTGTATGATGGGGTGGCAGGACAATTCCCAGGAAAGGAAGACTTGTTGTGAGTCAGGTAGAACATCAAGAAATATCTATTAAAATAGCAGGTACTTGAAAGAAAGTGAAGTCTGGCCCGTGGCTCACTTGGGAGAGTGCGGTGCTGATAACACTAAGGCCGCGGGTTTGGATCCTATATAGGGATGGCCGGTTGGCTCACTTGGGAGAGCGTGGTGCTGACAACACCAAGGCAAGGGTTGAGATCCCCTTACTGGTCATCTTTAAAAAAAAAAAAAAAGAAAAGAAAGAAAGAAAGAAAGCCAAGATGCCGGGTACTGTTCAAGCTTTATTAAAGAAATCTGCCTGGCTGTGCTCAGAGTGGCAGACAGCCCAGGGCTGCCCTGAAAATGGTGGACAGCACCAGGTGTGGGGGTGGTAGAGCTTATATAGTGCACCAAGGGCTGGCTGATACCATCAAGGAGGGTCATTATGCTAATGTGGATTGGGGTGGAGAACTGCATCCTTGCGGAAGCAAAAGGGGTTTCTGTTTAAGTCAGGAGGATTCTTCTAAAGGGAAGGGGGAGGAGAGGGGAGGAGGTGGGCAGCACCATTTTGTACTTGGGCTTGTCTAAAGTGGTGCTGGTTATGTTGCAGATCTATTATTCCTGCCTTTTAAGTATAGGAAAAAGGGGGAAAGGGCGGAGGTCTCATTCTTCTGAAGCTACTTCCTGCTGGAGATGGGCAAAGATATGGAAAAAATAAAAGATTTATGTTGGCAGGTAAAACAATTAGGTGGCGGGGTTTTGGTTTCGTGTGGGGAGGCTGTATTCCTCCGGAGAAAGGTCGCTGATTCTGAGGGGCTGAATCCTCCTTGCAGGAACAATTTGGTGACCTTTTGGTTGGTGAAACATGTATATGTTCCTGCAAGAAATTAGAGAAACACCAAAAGAGAGAGGTTCCAAAAAGAAGGATGAGGCACACACAGGTAGGCGTCCCAGTAAGCATAAGCCAGGGTATCCAAGGGTTCAGTGAGATGGTTTAAGTTGTTTTGGATCACCTGGACTCATTTAGGTAATAACAGCATTCCTCCCCCAAGAAGAGGCAGGTGCCTTCCTTCTCGGCTGTAAGGAGGTAAAGGGCCCAATGGTTCTGTAAAGCGATTGTTGTGAGTGAGGTGACCTGTCCCTGGAGAGAGGAGATGCTGTCTATGCTTGGTTCTTCTGAGAGTTTTTGATAGAATTGAGAGGCAGTAGCAGGGCCCGCTATGCCATTTCCAGTTGCAGGAAGGATCCCTGCCCTAATTAAAAAGGTACAATTAGTGCCCTATGGGAGTTGGGGCACTTCCTGAGAGGGGGACCGAAGTTAGTCCCAGTCCCGTCTCCATCTCTCCATCTGTCTGGAGGGTGATGTCAGGGATGAGCCAGAAGAATATACAAGAAATCACATATGATAACATTTTACAAAGGAAATATTTTCTGGGTTTAGGGCATGGATGAGGAGGGGGTAAGTGAGTGGTAGCGTCTGTTGTTAGTGAGGCACAGTGTGGGCAGGCCCCGCACAACGCTGACAGTCCCCACATAATGCTGACAGTCCCCACTGAGGTGAGATTAGAGGAAAGTGCAGAGACGTTTGTGGAAATGTTACAGGCTGCATCTATAGGGAGGGGGGTGACCACAAAAAGTTTCTCGTGAAGTGGGAGAAGGATGAGTCGCTCGGGGACCAGTCTGATTCCCTGAGGACAGCATCGTCCCTGTGGACCTGGAACCTCCATGTTCCAGGTAAAGGGGAGCATTGAGGTAGGAGAAAAAAAAAGGGAAGGATGCGAAGGGTTAGGGAGCCCAAAGAATTTACAGGACACATTGCCACAGTGGAATTGCTAAGAAGCATCCTACTGATAGGAGGTAAAGGAGGCCAGGAGAAATCTTCCTATAATGTTACAATCTTTTGGGGCAGCTGCTGCCAATCCTGTAGCAAGTACTAGAACAGACAGTATAATAGCAGCTCTTGTGCATGGGATGTGAAGCGGACTTGCAAGAGAGGATAATCACCGGGGGGAAGATCATCCTCTTCCGGGACTG